GCGTTTCGACCAATCTATTTGGCTCGCAGCCGTCGATCTAAGGGGATTAAGAGTAGCATTCTGACAACAGCGAAAGCTATCGAAATCTGCCTTTTATAATCCCCCCCCCCTTGTGCTCTCAAAAACAACTCATAACAACACCCTGCCTTATGTGGCCAACACACGGTACAGTCACCACCCATCCACCCATAATGACTCGAAGCAATGCGTATATATGATGACCAAAGCGTGAGAAATATCCGATCATAGAACTGGAATGTCCATTAGTTTCCCTCCCAATTCATTATGTTTCCTCCTACTCCCCTAGTAAACTAATGACTTAAGTTGTGATGTACTAGCCTATAGATGAATCACCGCAACCGAGCTTGTTCGCTAATGTGTTCTTCTTACGGTTAACTAAATCCAACGTTTTACCATGCGTTCCGATATGATGACTATTCAGATACTTAAGAGTGAAACCAATAGGCATAAATGATGTTAAATTTTGATATGATGAAGTTTAGCGGAGTCCCAACCTTTCGCTCAAATAGCATGTCATGTTGACGCTGATTGTTTGAAATCAAACAGATCATCTCACAATGGTTAGAAAACCAAACAGCCGAATAGCCTTATTGAAAAATCTACACGAAGCTCATAACCGTGTCCGAGGTCGTAACAGTATATCAGATATGACTATCCGGGACTTATTTTGTCAGGCTATTGTTATTTTTAAACTCGCGTTTGGGTGAAATCGACCTTATGTATATCTCATTGAGTTCTTTCGGGGTAAGTCAACTGCGACGGATCATTAAGATGGTTCTGTGAAACGTTTTGTTGGCTTTGCCACATCTAACAAAAATAAACATTTGTAGAATTCTCGTGATAAATATTTGACATTTTTCTCGCGAAATCAATCCCTGGGGTGGTAACACGACTTACGTAGTTTGCGAGTGTTGATTTCGAGCACACAGAACGGAAGGCAGTGGCAGAGACTTCACCGTACTTGGAAAACGACACTCCTTGTACTTTGACAATTTCATTTTGTAAGTCATAATTTTAGCCAGTGAATAGTTCACAATCCAGTTTGAAACGAAACCCAAATCAAACTGCACTCTACGCTTGGTCTTTTCTTTGGGTAGAGGAAACTCAACCTTTCGACAAACGCGACAGGATCGAATTCAAGCGGGTTTTAATATTTCAGTTTTGTTGGTAGCCAAAATAGCTTTTGCATCCTCTCGGGGACAAAAGCCGTCCTATTATTTGGGCAGTTTGTACACAATGCGTTTGTTCTTCTCATCAAATCTCTTAATTTAGGCATTGGCTGTATTTGGGGCGTTTCCTTTAGTCAACTTAAGAACTCCCAGGATAAGCTTGGGATTGATCATACATGAGGAATTTTCGAATAAGTACTGATCCAAAAACCGGAAGAAAGATTGCTGAAATCCTATTAGCGATGGCCTTCCCCAAGAGCATTTTGTGGTTTCTGGAGCTAAGTGGAGAATAAGGAGCATAACACTCATTTTTTGTAAAGCTGAAGATCTTTAAAGGGTAGTTCTACTGAGTCCAATTCATCAATGTCATCATACTTGTATTGCAGAGCCTTTTCCAGCTTCGCTACAGTAAACATGGCATCAGCCTCATTGGTGAGAACTTCCCCAAAACTACATGAACTCTGTGGTTCAACAGATTTGAACTACCTGGATCAAATGTTCCCTCATTTACAAACAATAGTGTTCTCTGAGACAATAACCTGATTGTGATCGATGATCTCTTCCAACGTGTCATTTGGCATGAGTGTTTCACCTAATTGATCTAATTTCGATTGTTACTTCCTATTTATTTTTAAGCGCTCTTTCTTATTGGTAAACTCTACTTCTTCAGTATGCAGTCCTTTATTCCTTCAATTTTCAGAAGACTTGTTCTGAAATGAGTAAGTGTTGTACCTTGCGGCAATTCACCGTCAATATCTGACTCTTTACATCGTTAGCATTTTTCCATTCTGATAGACACGGGCAGGTCAGGCGCACATGGTTTAGTTCTATCAACTATTCACACCCCATTCACTTGATCTTTTTCGACAGGTCACGAAGCGGCCGTGGCCCCCTCTACCCAAAACCTGAGGAACTTTTATCGACCACATCACTTTACTTCTTAACCACGCAAAATGGTGCTCACGAATATTCTCGGACAGATGCCTGCGACTCTGACTTTTGTTCACACGCAGTGAGTAATGAAATGAATGCACAAAAAGGCGCTCTGCTTTTTAATATCAAATACGCCATCGATCGGATGTAATGTAATAATACTAACTTCACTTACTTCCGCCTCAGAGAATACTCTTAGACTTCAGTTGAGCTACATATGCTTGGCGGTAGTGGTATAACGGCAAAAGCTTCTAACTTATCGCCCCGGAGGATGTGTTTGAATCCCAGCAACATTGTCCGAATTTCCCACTTATTTGTGTACTGTATTGCAGTGCTTGGACTAGCCGTTTGCCCTCTTCCTGAAAAGTGTAGCGCTATACATTCAATGAACGTAAGTGAAAGAAGAAAAGGAAAACAAAACTGTTTTGAAATATGAGAATTAAAACAATTTATAACTTTAGGTTCCAAAATATGTTTGGTGTGAATGAATCAATGACTTCATTTCCGTGACTCGAATATGGGTTTTCCATGTGGTGACAGAAAACATAACATGTTTTCCCTGTGGACTGAAAGTTTTGACGAATGATTCACTACAATTCATTAATTTGCACACGAAGGCTCCTAAAATCCACATAAAGTTCACCGAGGCCTAACATCAGAACATCGATTACCTCATTTGCACAATGACCCACTGAGGGGTGGCAGTTTTGAAACTGTTGCACTGTTTTTTTCTGTGAGTGAACCATTTGGCATATCCATATGCATCTTTTAGTTCTGTGGACAGCCAAGTTTAACGATGTTTGCTGTTAATGTTATAGTGTTAATAACACAGCGATATCGGCAGAGAATTACATTCGCTGACGTTTCGGTTGCCGTGGGTAACCTTTCTCAAGGCAGGTTTTACAATCATATGACTCAGAGGAAAGGGTCACAAGTTTACGGATTTTTCATCGTGTGTGCGTGTGTCTCTGTGTCTGCGTGTGTGGTGGACTGAATGATTCGTTGTCCGTCATAATAACTCCCATTATTTGGTGGGGTCAAGTGGCACCGTGACTTTTGTCGTGATTGCGCGTTAGGGATGTCAGGGTAGTCCAAATTCTTGGGATATAGATTCCGTCGTTTCTGTTGACACATGCAGAGTGGTTGTTAATGGTCAAAGCTTCGGTATACGAGCGTTCAGTGCATGTTCGAAATAGTTACGTATCTTTATATAATTATTTTTTATTTTATTTTATATTTATAATATTTACGTTTGTACTTGTTGTTGCTTAGTGGCTAAGCTGAAGACCGGAATGCTGAATTTCATTATGCACGATGACCTTGCTTCGGATTTGAGGCTCACCAAAACTTCTGATCTGTTCGTAGTCGTACCGATTTGGAAATAATAAAACAAAAAGGAATTAGACATAGCTTTCGAGAATAAAACAATTTATTTCAATACATCATATTTGTTTCGCATTCATCTTCTGACATTTAATGAGTAACTTGATGAACTTCCAGATGAGACCATGGACAGTTTAAGAAAAGATGTGAACGCTATCAAAATATGTATCTCAATGATGACTCCGGTCCAGTGATTAAGGCTATCAACATACGTAACTGGAAAACCTGATCTCGAATCCCCCCACCACGGCTGCCCATATTGTGTATTTCCGCATTCCTCAAACAGCTTTCGGATTACCACGGTTCCCTTTCTGAAAGTTGACTGTACACTTACATACTCAATAAGCAAATAAATAAAGCAAAGCATTCATAACTTAATGCACTTGGTTGACATGCACTCGGCATTTACAGTCATTTATTGAGTCTCACCACACCCCTCGAGAGCAATACCGTTTCGGACGTTAGCAACCGCAGAGGAGATTTGTATCCGACTCAAGAAGCCCGAGCTGTGGGCCCAACGCAAATTGATTCAAGCTCTTAAACACCTCTGGCCAGGGGAAGAGAAAATCGCTTGTTCACACGACCATGACATAACACCATGACTTAACGACTTTGGTCAAGTGATCCAAACTGCTCACAAACTTTAAGTTCTCTTGGGCTCATTGCCAAACGCATAACTCATGCACTTTTCTGTTTGACCGTATTGAAATTGTTTCATATAAATGTGATTGTAAAGACTTGAAAAGGAATTCGCCGAAAACATGTTCGCCTACATCGTGTTCCTAATCAATAGGCACATTCCGTGATTTATTACAAATTATATTTAATTTTTAATAAAGTGCCGTTCAGTGTGTTGACATAGCGTTTCATTCAGCATGGATAACTATTCCGTGAATAATGAGGCTGCCTCTTCGTGGGATTTGCGGGTTATCTGGTAAGAGTGGCGTTTTTGTGCCGGTTTGCTGTCGTATTCCTCTAGGCAATTTCCATCTCTCTGCTTGCCTTCGTTTGGTTAACTCTCACGTAGCGCTCCAAGAAGCTGAAACATAGATGAAAACCCGAAACCGGGCAAGCCGATTAACCGGCGTGTTAAACTAAGTTCAAGTTTATCTGGAGTAGTAAACTTTGAGGGAGACAAACGGCGTGTAAATACATTTACTTCTTCGCAGGTGGACTGTCTAATTCATGCATTCTGGGGTAAAAGCTTCCAACGGATATGGTTACATTCCTGTGTTGCATTCGCACCTACTGAATAGCCACTAATCTCTTAGAGATTCAAAGGAAACCATATGCTATTTTATTACTATGCTACTGTACTCGTTTAATTGAGCAAAGATTATCGGTCCACCAGCGAAAACCAGTCGGGTGACGCCGGGGAACTTTCTTCTACTGAACTCCTTAAAACGTCATCATCCTCATTGGATCCCTGTGACAAATGATAGCCAGAAATGGAAAAATACGGCATTCCACACTGTTGTCAACAGTAGGTTCTAAGTAACGGTACAATAAGAAGTTTACAGGATCACTTGCAACAGAAAAGAAGATCGCAATTTTTGAGCTAGGTAGTTTTCCATTAATCGATCACCGTAATGACCTTGAAATGTTTAAAATGCCTTGAAGCAATGGGGAAATTCCAAATCCTAGTAACAGTACCTAAGCCTGTTGGTTAAAAACGGTGGAAGTCAACGCTGAAAAGTATCCGCAGACATATCTCTGATGCTTTTCGAGAGTTTACCTAAAGCTCCACCTTTATACCCCAAAACATTTCTCTTCTGTAGAAAGAATCGATTTCATAGGATGAACTCAATTTCTCACCAGAAACGTCTGCTGCATTCTAAATGGAATTCACTCAAAATCAACCACATATACTCCACGAGTTTACTCTGAATGGTTGCCAAAAAAAGTGATATCTAATCGGTTTCCCTGACAAAGTGTCCCAGATAACAACTTTTCGGGGTCAAGTTAATTAATTTCTATATAACAAGACATAATAACCCATTCCAGATAGCCACTTTTGACAAGATCAAACATCGTGATTCAGGGATGAGTGTTAAGGTGGTGAAATCAGCATCGGTTATATGAAAGGGAATTCAAGCGTAGATGATACCATTTTTTCCAATCTGGTTGGTTTTCATTTAATCATGTATATGTGTGTATCGTCTATTAGATATCTGGGTACATCCCCAGTGTGATGGAAGCATTCACATCCCTGGTGTCTTGGCCCGAAAATTTTAGGAGCAACACCATTCTGAAGAGTCTTCTGGTTCGTTCGCCCCATATAGAGAAACTTCACTATATAAATAGAATTACGTGGCCAAATTACTTGCCTCCAAAATGACCCAACTAAATTGTTTTGCAGTCGTATGTACTTTTCAGCGATTCAAACCTGAAATCCGCATAGCATTCAACACGTAAACATATGAGGTAGTTCATTTAATGTATTCTTCGTCGTCCCGACCGAAGAATTATTTATGTTGTCCACAAAATAGTATCTATTTCAATCCTTCACCTTCTATTTAAGTAAAGCCAAGATTATTCTTTGATCAAAGTTTACACTAAGCAATTCTTTACATGACTGGTTTTTAAAGGCTTTGTCTCAGGAACGGCCATGCCAAGTGATTCACTGTTACATCTTTGATCGTTCTTAGTTTCTTTTAATTTTCCTTCCGTTTATTAGATAAGTAATGATACAACTTTCAGGAAGGGAAAGCGGCCAATCAAAAGGTTGTATTAAAACACAGAAAATTGGGAAAGTTTGATGCTGGTATAGGGCATTCAAGCCAATGTCCTCCGGGGTAATCATTTGGTAATCTTTAACGCCACCAGCACCCCCACTGGGAGGTATAATCCCACAGTGTTTACAAAAATCGCGATTGCGGCTGAAGCTGTCATTGGTTAAATTTTAAAAAAATATGGATTTAAAAGTACTTAAAAATGTACGTTAGTTCCATATGTGAGTATGGATTCCCGCGGGTTACGAAATCCGATAGACCTAGTAGTTTATTTATTCGTAACGTTAGCATATGGAACACAGATTAGGCTGCTATCGGTAATCAAACCTTTTGGTTAACTGGGATCAGGGATCGCAAATGGTGAGCAGTGCACCCTATCTGTTCGTTTCACCACAAAGCGACTGCAAAGATGAAAACGATGTTTATGCTTTGTTGTTGTGGTAATCAGAAATGTTTGTGATTCACGTTTATGCATACGCAGCGCAACTAATAATGAAACCGCTATAAAATGTTTGGTTTAGAACTTTGGAATTGTTTCACATGACGGACGCACCTTTTAGGTGACTCAACTCCTTTGAGACCCGAGCATCAACTTCTCTCTATCGGGGATCGTTTTATGTTTTACTGCATTGGAGTATAAAGAACTATCAACCTCTGGATATTAAAATCAATATGAATCACAGAAAAACTAGATTTTTTCTTGTTTAATTATTCTTTTTTCTTTCCGTTTTTCATTTTATTCCCTTCTATTAAACATACAAAGATACAATTTTCAGGAAGTGGGGAGCGGCCAATCAAAAGGCTGCCATTCAACACACAATAGGGAATCAGGTGGTGGTGGTGGGATTCGAACACATCCCCAAGGCGATAGCTTGGTGACATTATCACCGGGCCACCGCCGACCATTATAGTACGTCTATAATCATTGCGCGCTAATTTGGTCGGTATCACTCCGGTGGTGCTGATGCTAATCTGCTCTTTCAATTTGAATTACTGAAGCGCGGGACAATTTCTTTGCACCACCTTCCATCACACTATGATTTCCATTGTATAATCGATTTCCTTAATTTTGGCCAATAAAGCTATTTATTAGTACCGCTGGGAGAATTTAGCCCATACTGGCTCAGGCAGCAGGTGGGAATAGAGGACCTCAGTGACGCAAGACACATTATTTCAACAGAAGAGAAAAAGTGACGCTTTGTTTGTTATCGGAACTCGGTAGGTGCGTTTAAAGTAATAAAATCTTTGGCTTGCATTAGCCTACTTTATTTCCCCACTGGTAACTGGGGTGTGGGGGTTGGTGAATTCACGCGCTTTCGATGGACATTCGACTATTCCTCTGGGTTCCTGTAAATATTCCGTATTCTGATATTCTTTTATCCCGTCAGAATCTCCAATTTTCCAAAGCTGGCTGTTTTAGACCATTCCACCGGATCGCCCTTACTCCCACCAAACTAACCTTCATCCATGAAACTTTTGGGAGGGACTGGTTGATCACCACGACCAGCGCCGCCACCACCACCGTAAACCTAGTGTTAGTGCTACTTTCTTGTTCGCTCGCATATCCAGGTATTTTACTTTACCAGCCGGTTTATAGTTTACACTCAATCGTGCGGCGCAGCATCGAGCGCTTGGTGCACACACACACACACACTGAACGGACAGAGTGTCTTGAGGAATAACCGATGTGGAAATGCAATGGGTTCTGTGCCCCTAGGCTTGTGCACCAACATCTTCGCACACGCATACCGCAGTGCGCACCGATCGATCAGCCACAAATCAGTCGGTCGACCGGACAGGCGCACGCGTGCGCGCACATATATACACAGCTTCATCGGGTCAAATATAGGACGCACATATACACTCGTACACAGATGCACGTACAAGACCGACTGAGATGCTGGCATGCCCTTATGTGCTGCTGCTGGCATGCTTTTCTTGATCTCGCGTCCTTGTCTTGTGGTCTTGTCCAAATCTATTCCGGCTAAGTCCACACACACAGTGCCCCGTGCACGCTTCGCGTACATCCTCAGCGTACTCGCACGGACTGACTTACTGCTTTCGTGTGCGTATGTGTGCGTGCTTGCTTGCATGCAGAAGGAAAATCGTTAGGATTCCTCGGATTGAACGGCGACAGTCGGGCGGATTATGCGCCAGCGCGTTGGTTCCAGCGTGCGTACACACATCGAACACCCGAATCAGTGCTGACTTTCCAAGTGGACAAAAGTGCCCGATCGATTTATACGCATCGATCTGTTGGTAACGCAAGTTGTCCCGTTTCTTCAACTGTATACTGATGTAGCTGAACCATAAATAATCGGATGTGAAACTCAAGCACAGCGATAAAAATCAATGTGTTGTAAATAAGAATATTCATTTTTTTATTCCAACCATTTGAAACCGAGCGTTCATTCGGGGGAACACTCTTGTCAAAGTGCAAAACGAGTTTGTAAATAAGTTACCCAGTAGGAACAAAGATCTGACATGAAAAACTGCTCAATAACTCTGAGAGGGTTTGTCGCAAAAGCCTGAGTGGGACGCGCCGTGCCCGTATGGTTTATACAAAACTGATTTTTACCGCAGTGGCAGCATGCCAATGCCGCTCCGCTCGCACTCGCTGGAATGCATGTATAGCACTGGGGATAAATCGGAAACAACGGAATTATTACTGCAGAGTTGCCATTTTTCAAATCACATAAATATAATCTGAAAAATTGCTAAACTGAGTTTGTTGTCTTTTGTGAAAAATTGCATCCAAAGCTACTTTTCTACAGAAATTTTCAAATAAATTTATCATTACTGAAAAAGAAATTTAAGGGTGACTTTTGGAATTCAAGACCAAGTTTTATCTGCCCAGGTGAATCTGAATAATTTTTGTTTATCTCTCTCTCTCCACATTCTAGAAGCTGACCTACGCGAGCTGAGCTTCCATTCTGATTAGTGACGTACTACGTAATTCAGGGAATAGATATCTCTGTGCATAAGGTATCTGATCGATGTCGGTGTTGTCATCAACTCACAGCTGAAGGCGATCATGTTTGTAGAGTGGAGGGTAACTGTGCTTTGATGAATCAGAGTGAGGTTCAAGGTACAACAGAAAACTGGAATTTCTAGCTGTACCTTGCAAACTGTGCACGCTGGTTTGAAACAAATGTGTACAACGCAGGCTCGGTTGGTCAGGCTAGCTTGTCTAGTTAATCTGTTTCTGTATGCAAATTAAACTTCAACCTGTTACACATCAACCAGGGCCGTTGCTGATTAAATTTTGCAAATGATATGGTATAATAAAAATGAGAGATTAAGTGTATGTGGACTCGAGGTGACACATTGTCTGATGGGATTATGCGGAATTGGGGGTGGATTTAAGTGTATCATTTCCTAAGGCATTAGGATGAAACGATCTGTGCTCCTGAACTCAAGCTTTTGTACGATATAATTCTAATAGAGCGCTTGCAGTGTAGTAATTCTTGCCCATATGGACTTTAACTTTCGCAGCTCCAACCTATCGAGGATATTTAACTCACGACTATCTAAATAAGCCAATTGATTT